TCTTTGGTACTGGACTAAGCTATGATTTTGAGTGTTTTGTGAGTTTAATTAATGTCTTTAAATTCTGTTATTTGGATAGTAAAATCCTCCAGATCCTCATTATCACATAAAGCATTAGGAAAACATTGTGGGCTAGGGGCTATGGGCTAGGTAGTTGCACGAAAACAGAGTTGAGGCTGAAGGGAGATTTGCTTGCACTACAGGCCATATGCTGCTGCAGGGAATGCATTGCTACACATCTAATGCTCCATTTCCAGCTGAGCATCACCATCTGGCTCCACTGTTTGGTTTATTATGCAACACCAATATGCATGTTAAACTCCAGGGACGATTAGAACGATGACTGTCAGAACTTCTTCACTTTTTCTGCCTCTTCACGCATGGCAACAGGCATGAAACCCTTGGACATGCACGCATGCACATGCCTCTGTGTTTGTGTCTAACATGTACTTAATGCTGGGCTGAGATCATTGTCAGTTGCCTGTTGTTTTTCCATTGCTCTTGTGACTGGATCAGTGTATGCATACCATCTGAGCTTTGTTTACTCTTGCAGGAGTCCATCTCTGTTAGATTCTATTAAAAGTGTGGGACAAAGTTTAGAAATGGGTGCTTAATTCTTGTAGGATCTGACTATTTTTAGATGTTCCTGTTAAACAGAGCCCATCTCCTTCATTGGCAGGCTTATATCAATCACTACAATTTCAGTAGCAGGGATACTGTTATCTTTTTAATGTCTGTAAATGCTGCCTGGGGTTTTTTTTTTTCCCTAGAATCGTGTTTTATTTTCAAGTAATTTTGAGGTGCTTACAATAAAAAAAACCCTCACTTCTATATTTATTATAAATATGTAGAACTTGAGGAAAAAACAACAACTTTATTTTACTTAAGTAAGTTAACCTACTTTAAACTTCCTACATTAGTTGGGTTCTTTATAGCTGACTGCTTATACAACAGAGCAAGTGATGAACAAAAATATGCTGTTTGGCACTGTTGGATGAAAGGCTCTACAAAAGGTGATTCATCTAATCCAGTCCCAGTGGAAAAGCACAACATCAGAGGCTTTATGTCCTGCCCAGACGTCTCTTGTCTCTCCTTCCTTTTTTTCCCCTTTTTTTCCGTTTGCTCTTGTTGTTGGATTTGTCCTCCTTTCAGATGGCTGGTAGCCATGCTGCTCTCCTCCCTGTGTAGCCTTGCCCTGTGGTGGATTGTGTATGGCTTCCCTTCTTCCATCCTGCATTTCTGTATAGACGGGTTAGGATTTCAATGAGTTCTACTGCCCGTCAGCCCCCCAAAAACCTGCCCTGCCCCTCCTTCTGGAGCTCTAACTGAGAATGCTGTAAGTGAGCCCCCAGTCTCTTTTTAATTCCCAACCCGAATCAGAAATTTGTTCAAAATCATCTTACTGTTCCTATATTCTTTCTGCAAATACTGTTAAGTCAAAGCTAATGAGCAGAGCCAGTTTTTAAAAATCTAAAACATCAAAGGCTACTGCCTTGTCCTTGTCAACATTTTTTGTACATGATGATTTGTACCATAAACATTCCCATCACCCCGTCACCTTTACACATCATGCTTTGCTGGTTATTGTGTTGACTTATTCCCAACTGTTAAATTGGCAGACAATTAAGAGCTGCTGATGGAAATGACTAAGACAGATCAAGACTCTTTTTAAGTTTTAGTGCAACCTCCTCGCTTTAACTTAGCTCTACTAATCCTACCTGGCTGCTGAATGCAATAATATTCTGTTCACACGGCTAAAACTGTCACATTAAAAACAAAACATTTTTTTCTCATTACCATGCAAACCTTTCCCCTGCTATCCACTCTGAAGTGTAGTTCATTACATATACATATAAAGTTTCACATTTTTTACTGCTATGTTACTTTGTCTTCACAGACAAGAGGAGAATAAGATGCACACCAGATCCTCATCACAGTCCCTGAGGTAAAGTGTACAATGTACACACAAAATGCACACCTACATACACATACTGACATAAAGCAGGGCTTAGACTAATGAATATGTCTCCTCTGTAGCGGAGTCATCTTGCAGGCAAGTTTTCAGAGCTGTAAGACAAGTGTTAGCCCATTGGCTCTATCTGACCAGTCAGACAGCAGGAAAAGGACCAGAACCTCCCTTCCAGCTAATGGAACAGGAGGAAGGTCAGTGGAATAATTTAAATAACACTCATTTGCCTGAACTGACTTCCCCAGATAGACTTTACATACTTTATACAGTTAAAATTATCCATAAAGGTCAACAATGTTTCAGTTTGGATCATGGACTAGACAGAAAAGATTGCTGCAGCCGCAATTTGACATCACCCATAGGTCAGCAGTCTTAGTTTTTTTTAAGCTAGACTTTAGGAGCCAAGGATAATAAAGGGATCATAATCTGCAGATAGAACATCATGTATATTCAATATGAAAGTGTTTACCTAGTTGCCCCCTGCTGGCCATTATAAATAATGCATGTTTAAAGAAGTCTGTAGGTTGTATTTGTAACTTCAGTTATTACATATGAAATTGTACTGTTGTAATAAAAATACATGCTTTGTATTTTGATTCCTCTATGTGCCATTGAAACTGAAAAAACAAAAATAGAGAGGCTATAGCCACTCATGAGTCCTTGCTGAGTACATTAACAGCTTCCCTTTTCTCTACCAGCTCCCTGTGCAACACCAGACTGGTCAGGTCCCTAGGCAACTTGCATGTCGTGGCTGGTGGCAAAGACTCAATGTGTTGTGAACCATGTGACAGCCATAGACAGACAGCCAGTGTCACAACCAACTTAGGCTCTCCCATCAGCTTAAGCATGGGACAGGTCCATCTACAGGCAAGCTTCCTTAGATCTTCACAAGCCAAGTGGAGATTTGGACTGCATTTGCACAGGAGCCAAAAATTTGCAATATGCAAAAAGAGATATGATCTTTAGTGCCTGTGCAAATTCAGCAAAAATTCCAGAGGCTTGGAATACACGTCGTTTCACTTCAGTTTTCAAAAAAGGGGTTGTGCCATAATCATATGACGTTCCTAGGCTGGGCTGCATCACCTACTGAAACAAAACCTGTGGTTCATTCAAAAAATGTGTTTCTTAAAAAAACTGTTTCCACCAACAACAGTTAAGATCTTACAGTTTAGGTAAAAGTGGAAGCATTTGAATGCAATTTTTTTTTTTAAATGAAGGAATGGATAAATTATAAACAGGTGAATACTTTCATTGAATTTAATTATTCAGTTAATTTAAGCATTAAGTAAAACAAAATGGTACTGCAGATCCTTTCAGTGTAGAACAATTTGCATTTTTTCATCATGACCGAAGGCTATTAAGGTTTACATAGAGAAACTAAATACTATTAATAAATATAAATATTGTTTTATGAATTTGATGAAGGTGCAACCCAGCTCGGATTCTTTACTCAGATGAACTAACCTTTATATATAACCGGATATTGTCCAGGTCTAACATGTAGTAAATCTGATGGTGCATATGTACCACTATCAGGATGCTAAATTAAATTCCACTTGGCACAATCCCCCTGCTGCTTCATTCAAACATTTTCCCTGCATGTTCTCTGAGAACAGTTTGTTTGGGAGTATGGCTGGCTATAGCTTCTCTAGACTTTGTGCGCCTCACTCTGTCTTTGGCCTGTTGTTACCACTCTGTAGCCATGTGCGCATTCTTTTCTTGAGCCAATCTTTAATGTTCACCTCCCTTCTTTTCCTCCCTTTACGTTTCATATATGCAACAGACGTACCGTCTCCAGAGGATGTAAAGCTCGCAGCTCTTTGCAATCCATTAGGTTTTCCAGGCTATGGTATCTACCGCTTCACTTTTCTGTCTTGCATTTACTCTAGTATTGTAATGATTTAACCTTAAATAACTCTATTTTTCCCCCTTCTTCTTTGTAGTCACTCCATACCCAAACCTAGAGCTCCTCTACTGCGGTGAGCCTGTGGAAGTGGAAAATCCGATACATTACCTTCTATACAGCTGACGTGGGGGGGAAGAGACGTTACAGAACCACCACAAGTACTTCATTCAAAATTGTATGATTACAAGCCATTTTATCCATAGGACTCTTTTTAAAAAATATTTTTTAAACATAGAATCATGAACTGAACTGCTAGTTTTAATCATTGCCTGGTTGTTTCTACTTAACTGAAGCATGCAGTAGCAGCATCAGATCAAACCATTGTATGAATGTGTGGATCCAGGAGATTTCCTCCAAAATGAGCACTGTGCAGAACTTATTCTGATAAGAGTTCATGGTGGGAAGTATTTGATAGAATTGGCCTTTAATTTGTCCCGAGTCCCTGATCTTGGGCCCTGCATTGTGTGTTTGCCATGGACATAGTTAAGTCTCTTGGCAGTAATTCCATCACAATACAACACCATGTGCATTTGTACCTCTATTGAATATCTGATTTGTCTTACTTGTGAAGCTTTTCAGCTCCTGTACTTAAACTGTAAATATGTCAACATTTGATATCCTCTGTATTTTGTAAATATTTTGTACTGTTAGATCATCCTATAAATGAGTGGGTGGTCCTAACGGGGCCTGGTCTAACTCACCTTCATAATCCACTAAAGACATTTGCTTGAAGCACATAGAATCATACTTTTTAATAAATGTATACCCAAGTATGTCTCTGGCTTAGTCCTTTCATTACATGTTTTAAGCACAATTATAGTTGTTCCCAGATCCTTTTTTAAACCCCCAGACTGGGTGCCGCTTGCTAACAGTTGGAAAGAGAAGCAGGTAGGTGGAGATGCTGTGCTCAGCTGTAAAACCATATTAAGAATATCCTCCATTATACAAAAAGAAGGCTGGGTGTTTAGAGCAGTCTCGTGCCTGACTCTTTGGCTCTACTTCCACAATACTGTCCCATGCGAAAGTTATTTGAAGACCTAGATCAGGTCAATTTTTGTCAACCAGCCGACAAGAAAAATGAGTTTAAATCCTCAGTGATGCGTTCAAAACAAAAAGTTAACCTTGCAAAATAATTATTTATTGAACAGTGTATTCAGTGCAATTGAACCCAAAACCTCAAAAACAAAAACACAATAAATGTGACACATTAGGAGATAAGGTTTTACTCTGTTATCTCCCTGCTGATAGTGCTGGGAAGTCTTCTGGGTCATCTGGGTTAGGTGCCAGATGATCCTCCTCCTAATAGGGAAAAACCACGTCATTCATATAACAATATGCTAACTGTGCTCTGGGCACACAAATACGAGTACCCCTCTTACCCTTCAGAAAGTAAATGAACCTCAAATGCACAATTGTCAATAAAAGCTATATGAAAGGTTGGAGCATTTCAGCATTGTCCCAAATTCTGTACCCAAATACAGACATACCCTCTCCAATATTGGTTTGACACTCTCTGGGCGCCTGCTAGGACCACCACGTGCTCCTCTTCCTCGGCCCCCATGAGTGGGACGTCCAAGGCTCCCAAAATTGATGTCCAAGAGGGAGGTGATATCATTCACAGATCTGCGAAGGAAGTTTCCTTCATCTTCCATATTTACCTTGATGGTCTAGAAATTGGAAGCGAACACTAAATATACACAAGGCAAGAGTACTATTTGAACAGAAAACTAAACTATTTTTTACAGCATTTGCTTTTTTTATGTTAGTAAAAACATCCATCGATATTTTGATTATTACTCAGTCTTTGATTATTCGGCAATAGATATTCTGTCTCGTTGAAGTTATTAATGGCTTGCTTTGCTGCACAGTCCAGAAACTACCCGAATATGCACAGGCATGTCAACACATGTTACAGTTCATCTCAAATTAACCTCATTAGCAGCCAGTAAGATGAACTAGCCCCTAATGAGCCACAACTGAGGGTGCACAAACTTACACAACTGCCGGTGGCCTATGTTGCAGTAATGTTGCATAACACACACATTTTTCAGCGATTTTCAGTTACTCTGAGAAACTGCAGAAATGATTCATAAAAACAAAAAAAAAGGGGGGGGGGGACCCATATAGCCTCCAGAGTTCATCTTCCACTCTCACCTCCACATGCTTTGACTCGTGGATGACCTTGGCTTTGGAGGGAATCTTGCCTTCTGCTTTGCGGATATTAAATTCTGCTTTGGGACGATTCATCTCCTGCATGGCCTTCCATTCATCCAGGGTCATCTCCATAGCAACCTGGACTAACATCTCTCCCTCCTCCTCCGTTGCTCTATTTTATAATTTGAAAACAAATAAATCATCTGCCATTTCTATGTTTCCTATTCCCACTTCCTGCAAATGACAATTCTCATGTGTGACTGCCAAATACAGACATCCCAAATTCCCCCATCAATTAAAGCTTGTCACAGAACATTTTATCTAGCACACTGTTGAATGTGTTTTTTTGGGGGGTTTTGTTTTTGTTAAATTGTAGATTGCATTTTACTCACTGATTCGGATTGTCTTCCTCTACAGATATCTGGGACTCCTCAGATTTGATTGGAGATATCACGTCCATGAATTCACTGTACAAAAATGGACATGAACAAACAGAACCTCTATTCTCTGCAAGAATTAAAATGTTGTCATTTTCATGTTTATCAACTACTCCCTTACCTTGCAGCTTCTTCAACAGAGCCCCAGTTCCAAGCTCCTCTTCCTCCTCTCTTATCGTCAGGAGGTATACCTCTGCAATTAAGACAAAATGATCATCAGTACACAGTTACGAGACAGAGGAAAATCAGGGACAAGCGGCATTTTTACAAAGACTTACGTTCCATTGTGCCGATCGTATTCCCTTTTGCCCCTCAGAATAAAGTAGTCCGGGTTCCTTGCATTTCCTCCAGCTCTTCCTGCTCTCCTACCTTTGATCCCCCCTTTGCCTCTGAGATCAAAGTCTGAATTATAGGAAAGCCTGCCAAAAAAGAAGATTAAAACTCAGTTTATTCATGTGACAACATCCACATTTCAAACCCAGCTGACAGCAGTATCCTAGGAAAGCTTGTTTATGCCATGGGAGGGGGTGGGGGTTTATTGCAAGTCCAAATTTTGGGTTAGCTTCTCAATTTAAAATGTAGTCATTTTCTTAATTTAGAATTCTTTTCTCAGAAGTCTGAATTGCTAAGCTATAACCTGAAATTTAAATTTGCTTTGTTAGTTTTTTCCATAGTTGCAGAAACAAGCTTCCATAGTATAATTAGACATTGTTGGGTGACATTAAATATTAGGAGAGCTTTTCATCAACAAAAGTTCCTGTAAGAGAGTATGAAATAATGTTCATATGTAATCATATGCTGAAACACTAATCAAGACTGGGTATTTCATCTTTTATATGACATCAGTTAAATAAAGAAGATATTTTTATTAAGCATGGAATGCAAACCTAGAAACTGAAAACTCCTGTGGGGGTTCCTCTTGGTTGGCCCTACGCTGCCCAGCAGCAGCTTTCTTCTGGGCTTCTTCTCTGCCCTCCCCACTCTCAGACACAGGTGCAGGACGTGGTAGCTGCCTACGGACTAAAGGCAGAAAGAGAGATGGTAACGTACTGAACTGAGTCATAAGTTAGTTTTCCCCAAATAGTGATTGCTATGTTTCTGAACGCAATTCTCAGTATCGGACTTATGCTGTCAAACCTCACTGAGCTTACATTTACAGGAGGAAAAAACAATTTAACATGCTTTTCTCCTCTTTCCAATCCATTTTTTAGGTTCAGTCCAATAGCTGAATCTATATACTTAAATGTCCTCTGGAATTATCTATAAAATTAGGCATGCGTCACTTTGACCCAGATTTCTGCACAGAGGATAGTGGGGATATAACCACCTCTGACAGCATGCACATGTGCACCTTGCTGACCACGCATTTTTACCAGCTGACAAAGCTCAGGCAAACTGGCCACTCTTGGCTGGACTACCCCGTCAGGAAACCCCAGCAGCTGCCAGAATCGTTTGGATTTGTGCAGTGTGTCGCAGTACTTACCTGGAACCGGCTCTTGAACTTCCAGGGCCATAGGGAGGCGTCGGTCCCTTTGGGATTCCTTCTGACCAGGTTTTTTCTGCTTTGCTTTCTTCTCCTCCTCTTCCTTCTTCTTCTTTTTCTTCTTCGTCTTTTCTGATTCCACTTCGTTGATCAAGTCGAAAGGATCCGTGTCATCATCCAGAAGATTCCCGAACCTGTTCGCCACAGCACACCCGTAGGCGTCTGGCAGCATGTTAGCCTGTTAATGATGAATAAAACAAAACAGAGTTTGAATAATTACCTCCTCGTGATGATCAAACAGCTTTCAAGTATCAGACAATAAAGATAAACACCGTTTTCCAGCTCAGCTAGAACAAAGGAGCTGCGACGGTCGGAACTCTGATGCTCCAGTGAACATCCAACAAATGCCTCCAGCATATTTCCCCACACTTTTAAATAAATGTTTGCACGTGTGGATGCAAGCGACACCACGCCCACGTGCTCATCAACAGTCTGATCAATATGCATTGCATAGGCTTGGCTCGCTCCTCTGCCAGAGATGGTTCTGTGCTTAGTCAGGCTGGAGGCCCACGAGTCGGAACTGGCACAGGGGCTGAAGTTAAAGGGGCACTAACCCTCAAAAAGCATTCGAAAAACAAAGATAAACATTTAAGACAAATTTACATTTGGAAATATTATCCATTTTGTGAGCTTTCATTACAGTTCACTTTAATTAATGAAGCGCATTAACTTCATTAAACGTATAAAATGGTTTTAATCTACAGTTAGCTAACAGTAACCGATAATGTTCGGGTAATTATGGACTCTGTAGATTAGACCTAGTAACATTAGCATAAATGTCAGGTGAAGGTCCTACTTTTTTTTTTTTTTTTTTTTGGGGGGGGGGGGGGGTGATACTAGTTAGGTAGCTAGTAGTATACTTGCTTGTTAACGAGTTGACTCGCACAGCGACGTCTTGTTACTGTGCAAGCAAGTCAAGTGTTTCCCTTTTCCTTTTGTTGTAGGCCTGTTTGTTATCTACCTGGCAGTGTCTGTTTCCCTCCAAGGCAGGTAAGCAGTATTGCCTGCCAGGTCTAACAGTAATTTAATTATTGTAGCCAAACCTCAGGAAGGCCTGGGGTGTACCAAAGTAGCTAACTTAATCAAAGCCAAACAGGAGCATCAATAAACATCCATACCGCAGCCCAACAACCAGGCTGAAGGTTGTGTAAACTCTGAAGAACAGTCAGGATTCTTCAACGATTTTGGTGAAAGCTTCAAATAACATTTACCAAAGTTTTTTTTGTTTTGTTTTTCGTTTTCAATCTACTTGATAGATATTTACTTAGATAGTATGTATACTATTGTAAATGTTGCTTATTAGGCCTACCATTAGGTCAGTCACAAAGCAGGGTTTTTTTGTAATTCAAATGACATTATAAGAAATAATGTTAATCTCCACATTTTCTTGTATTTTTGCTACATAACTGTCAGCAATTGCTTCTGGCCCAAGTAGCTAGCAATGGCATTTGTTATATTAGTATATAAGTTTTTGTAACTAGTAGCAAATGGTGGCCAATCCACAGCTTTACCAGAAAAAAAACTTTCCCAGGTTATATAGGGATCTACTCCTTGCAGAAACTCCTGTGACTGTTCCCTAAATGTTCCCTGACAGTTATCACAAAACTTCATAAAAAAAGACTGGAGTTCTGGGTTCTTTAAAGTTGACTTTTAAAGATTGCTCACAATGCAACCTTCAGAACAGACTTGGGGAATATTTGCATAGAGTTACAATGTTTATGAAAGGTTTCTCAAGTTTCCAAAGATTCAATCCATCTGTTTTCCTCCACTTATGCATTTCAGGGTTGCTGGGAGGCTGGAGCCTGTCACAATGTCAGTCTTTTGCAGAGATAACACATAGACACAGTCGATTTAGAATCACATCATGCCTATCTTTGGACTGTAGGAGAAAGCCAGAGAACATGCAAACTACACATGGAAAGGCCCCAGACAGCATTCAAACTCAGGACCTTCTTGCAACAGTGTCAGCCACTGCACTGTGTGAAAACAGTGCATTGCACGCAATGTTCTAGAAAACTCCATTCGTCATACTTTTGCATAAACAAAATGTTAAGAAAGCGTGCCTAGTCCATGCTGCACTAAGCTACACATGAGAATCTGAGCGAAATCCCATTAAAGCACTGTCTCAATCATTTTTGGCATGCTCCTAGAAGCTGAAAATTTCACACTTCTACCTCACACTTTTCAGCAATCATTGGCAATAAAAAAGGAAATAAGTTAAATCTTATTTATACAGAAAAAAGGTCAGTGTGGTAGCAACACATAAATTATATTTTATTTATCTATTTCTTATGTAGCTTTCCTTTGGTTATCCACCCTGTAGTGGCTCTATACCCCACCAGGGGGGGCCCTCCTAACAGTTTGAGAACCACGTGCATTAAAGTCTCCATATTTGCATGCCCCATATGTTCGTAACTTTGCAAATCTATGCAAAACCCTCAGCCTTAATGAAATGTCTATACTATTTACTTTTTTTTCAGACTGAACTTCAAGAAGTAAGATGGATTATTTGATGAACTGAAGCAACACATACTGACACAATCATATGACATATGTATAATATGTATAATGCTCAGATCTCTTTAGTCCAGCTATTAAAATGTATAAAAATACCACCGACCCTCTTTTGCAAGATGAGTAAGGAATTTTATATAATGAAACCTCATTCAGTAGTCATAGCAGAATTAATATACAAGTCTGTGTTGTTAGTGTGCAATGTTTCAGTATAGCAGGAAATGTATGAAAGAGTGTAAACGTTATCAAGTCTAGTAGCAGTTTTTGTTTGAGTATTTGAAAGAAAGAAACTCCCACAATATTTACTAAAACAGATGTGTGACACTCAAATACCGAAAGCTAATAATCATAAAACAGCATCAGTACATTTAAATTCAGTGTCTGTAGTGTGTATAGTCTGGGATGGCCTGGATGGTGTTCATCCAGCAGTAAATCTGCACTCCCTTTGGCATACTATACTATTTTTAAGACAGTGCCCTGGAGTGTATTTAAACTGTTTTTTTTTTTTTTTTACTAGGTAACTGAAACATGGGCGACAAACAGGATGACAGTGAAAGCAGGGCAGGGTGTCTTCAAACAACTGCCAGGAACGGATGATTGACAGCACACTTTACTACATTTTACTGGAGAAATGAAATCATCTGAAGAACACAGTATCTAGAGATTTAGTAGGGTTTTGGGTTAAACAGATAAACCACTTTAGGTATATTGCATTAATATAATTAAATTTCAAATAACCCTAAGTTTCTGTTTCCATTTCTCGCACACAATAAAGCCTTTGTTCTATTACTTCCGCCCTACAGTGATTACGTAACTTTGGCGCCTTGGAACCACCGTTTTCTTTCCCTTTAAAACGACAAAAACATGTAATAACATAAACAGATTCTTCAGCGCGGGAAAAGAGCCATCTGCTCATCCGCAATGTAAAAAAAATTAACCGCCCTTCGCTCCCATTGGCTAACCCGTGGGCCACAATCGCTTTCATTGGCTAGTCTTGATGTCAATCTGCGAGAGCGCGCATCAGGTGTTTAAATCTCATTGGACAAAAGCTTTTCGGCCAATTAGTGTGCACAGAGCCCTTCGCGTCTCCTACTGGTCTGGAGGATGGCTAGGTAGAGCCATATGGCTGCTGCCATTCGCTTCTTTTGACACGTGGGGTTCGACGCCTGCAGCGGATTGGAGGATGCACTGCTCAGGCGCGATTTTGCAACGCGGGACAACGCTCCTGTGGGCTCACACAGGTCAATTGAGACGACCTGCTGCGACAAGAAGGAAAGAAACCGCAGTCTTCACATATTCCTGCAACTTTTGCAGTTACTTTGTAGCAGAGAGCGGATCAGAGATTTTTTTCTTCTTCTTGTACTCTTTGGAAATGAAGGAAGTATTTACTCCAGATTAAGAAGGCAAACTATTTATGACACTTGCTCGTTTATCTTGTTGAAAAAAAAAAGTTTTGCGGCTTTTGCGTCAAACACCGGGATTTTGACACTCAAACGATGGCTGAGAGCAAGCACCCTCACGTTATTTTCTGCAATGACTCGCCTAAAAGAGTTTTGGTGTCCGTCATCAAGACCACTCCGATTAAACCCAGGAAAGCAGAGGCCATAACCCCGACAAGCCCCGGCTTCAGCGACTTTATGGTCTACCCGTGGAAGTGGGGAGAGAACGCCCACAATGTGACCCTGAGCCCGGGCTCAGGGAGTGGAGCCGCGTCCCCTACCGGTACTCAGACGGCCAGGGAAGCGGACACAGCTCCTTCACCTGAGCAGATCAAGGTAAACCCCTTATATAAATGTTTGTCTTGATACTCTTTAAAAAGTGGCATGGCTGGATGTCGTATGGATGTCTGAGCGCAACCTAAAAGCAGAAAGTATTTTTAAGTATTTTAATACTTTAATATTTTTAATGCAGTGACTGCTGACAGCAGTGTAATACGCCTAAAAGAGCATTTGCAACTTAATTCTTTGATATGTTAAAGAACAGGTCTGAAAGGATATAGCATGTGTATAACAGGCGCAATAACCCATACATAGTTATCACAGCAGAACAGCACGATCAGAATGAACACCTTTTTCTTGTAAAGTGATATATTCTCTTGAAATGTGATTACTTAAAACAGAGAGTCGGCCTCAATATGGCGTCATATAGAGTCATTTAAAAAACGCCCGCGCATTAGGGTGTGACTCCGTGGATTTTAAACCCCAGTTCCTGAATCTGGAGCAGCTGCTCCAATATGACGTGTAGTCGCGCGCCAAAAATGTAACCGGATGTGAATGAATTATAATGAACGTGCCGTTCAGCTACAGTGTAACACGTGAGCTAATTAAATGAAGTCAGACTGGCACGTTGATACATTGTATGAAATGCAATAAATGAGTATTTTATGTGAATCATGTGTTATAAGTGTATTAGATTATGAAGCAGTGAAAACAGTTTGTCCTTGGTTTGGCATATTATACCCTGCTTTGTCTCAAAGCTGTTGCACCAAAGGTGTTCATTCATCCAGAGTCATTTGATAAGTCTGATAGGGCCAGAGCAATGATTCTGCGTGTTCTCGCTGTCAGGATGGTATCCGCAGAGGCCGGCCACGGGCAGACACAGTCCGGGAGCTGATAAGCGAGGGGGAGACTTCATCCAGCCGTATCCGTTGTAACATCTGCAACAGAGTGTTTCCCAGAGAGAAGTCTCTCCAGGCCCATAAGAGGACACACACAGGTGAGAGAAGTCTGCTGACCCATTATAAATTGCTTTAATACATGTGCTTCACCTGTCACGGCACAAAACATGAAACCATGTGGTCCCTGTTCTGAATTTAAAAGCATTGTCTAGTAATTACTAAAGTATTAAGTA